GTCACTCCCTCCAGTCCCTGACCACTGACCAGATTCGAGGTAGTTAATCTAAGGGGTGTGACTGCCTCCTGAAACACAGCATTCAGGTAACTCTCCCCTTCCCTGATGTATTGCAGTGTCTGAAACTCAAATTCCAGCTCATTAATTCTGAGCCAGAGTTCTCCAAGAAACCAACACTTGCTGCAGATTCACTGTGACATTCACTACATCATAACATTCATGATGAATCACATTAGGGTTCACCAGTTTCCACAACATACAGTTACAACACACCGCTTGGCCCAGCATCTCTATTTTAATGACTTAATTCTTAAATTTGATTTTTGAAACTGCTGTACTGGTCTTTTAGTTTGTAGCGCGTAAATATTTCCCCTATTTACCTTCAATCTTCAAGTAACCTATAATAGATAATCGAATTAATAACTATCGCCAACTAATGGACTTATGATTTGCCTGTTTTATCACTCTTCTATTCCGAAGAAGGATCACTGTACCCGAAGTGTTAACTACGATCTCTCTCCACAGATGCTGCCAGATATACTGAGTTTCTCCAGTATTTTCTGATTTTGGTTTTGTTTCTGATGTGACTCTTTTATGATGTGCCCCGATCCTGGGCTTCAATTTATCCTGTTAAAAGACCTTACAAACTATGAGCCAAAAAAAGGAAGCAAAGAGCACTTTTTCCCCTCTTGCACCAAATTCCCACGCTGCCTCAAATTCCTCAAACCATATACTTACTTGCCTGTGTCTTATTCTGGATGTAATCTCTCCTTCCTGACCATACAAAGCACAGTTAATATTTCAGGTCCTCTGGTCCTTCTTTAGAACCTCTGATTTTTAGAATAGGATCACCAGACTCAAACCCGACTCTGCTTTCCCTCCACAGATGCTGCCAGACCTACTGAGGTTCTCCAGCATATTCTGCATTTGTTTCTGATTTTCAGCATCCATGGATCTTTGGTTTTTGAGATAACCCTTACGATAGCTTTAAAGGATTAGCCAATTTTGCCCACTCTGTCTTTTATAAACCCTTTCTTACTTCTTACCAATGGCTGTTTGAGATTTAGTGCTTTGTGCTTTCACAGAATTTTTGTATGAAGGATAACTATTAACAGGCTCAGCTTGAACTGCAGGATATTGTGCCATTGTTTGGGACTTCTCTTTTAGAGGGAAGAGGGAAAAGATCTTTTGTACCTCATGAATTCTTGCAACCATTTATTATGGAGAAGGGGAGGTTAAATGAAAGAAAGTCCCTGGTATTCACTTTATAAGTAACAAGGAACAATTTATTTATTTAACCCGAACAGTGAACAAATTAACAGAACTACTAACAAACTGATCAATTCCTCCCAATTCCTAACTATTCACTAACTGAACAAAATTCTACTGGAATGCTATTCCAATAAACACAAGTCCCACTTATATAACCCAAGTAGTTTAAAAAATAAAACTTAGTCTCTCAAAGTCCATACAGAATGTGTCTTCCGGAATGCTCTGCCTTCCCTCACTGTCTCTCTGGTCATAAACACCTTTTTTCTGCTGTTCTCAAGCCATAAATGCCTTTCTTCCACTGATGCTGCTATCAGGGATGTTTTTTCTGTGAAGATTCATGGCTAGAAGTGCCGTGGTACCTTTTATGAATAAGATGGTGTTTTCTTAGAGAGCTTGGTGATTTCTTTTGTGAGCCAGGTGTTTATTTCTTAGATGGCGGCTCACTCTTACACTGATTTTCAAAAACCCTCTCCTTATATCCCTTGAATGGCATATCAATTTTCTTACAATAGCATGGGTCCAAGGTTGTCAAAGCTATCAGATTTAAATTCAGAGATAGTAGGAACTGCAGATGCTGGTGAATCCGAGACAACAAGGTGCAGGGCTGGATGAACACAGCAGGCCAAGCAGCATCATAGGAGCAGAGAGGCTGACGTTTCGGGCCTAGACCCTTCATCAGAAAAGGGGGAGGGGAAGGGGGTTCTGAAATAAATAGGGAGAGTGTGGGAGGCAGATAGAAGATGGATAGAGGAGAGGATAGGTGGAGAGGAAACAAACAGGTCAAAGAGGCGGGGATGGGGCCAGTAAAGGTGAGTGTAGGTGGGGAGTTAGGGAGGGGATAGGTCAGTTCAGGGAGGACGGACAGGTCAAGGGGGCGGGATGAGGTTAGTCGGTAGGAGATGGAGGTGCGGCTTGAGGTGGGAGGAGGGGATAGGTGGGAGGAAGAACAGGTTAGGGAGGCAGGGACGAGCTGGACTGGTTTTGGGATGCGGTAGGGGGAGGGGAGATTTTGAAACTTGTGAAATCCACATTGATACCATTGGGCTGCAGGGTTCCCAAGCGGAATATGAGTTGCTGTTCCTGCAACCTTCGGGTGGCATCGTTGTGGCACTGCAGGAGGCCCAGGATGACATGTCGTCTGAGGAATGGGAGGGGGAGTTGAAATGGTTCGCGACTGGGAGGTGCAGTTGTTTATTGCGAACCGAGCGTAGGTGTTCTGCAAAGCGGTCCCCGAGCGTCCGCTTGGTTTCCCTGATGTAGAGGAAGCCACACCGGGTACAGCGGATGCAGTATACCACATTGGCAGATGTGCAGGTGAACATCTGCTTGATGTGGAAAGTCTTCTTGGGGCCTGGGATGGGGGTGAGGGAGGAGGTATGGGGGGGCAGGTGTAGCACTTCCTGCGGTTGCAGGGAAAAGTGCCAGGTGTGGTGGAGCTGGAGGGGAGTGTGGAGCAGACAAGGGAGTCACGGAGAGAGTGGTCCCTCCGGAAAGCAGATAAGGGTGGGGAGGGAAAGATGTCTTTGGTGGTGGGGTCGGATTGCAGATGGCAGAAGTGTCGGAGGATGATGCGTTGGATCCGGAGGGTGGTGAGGTGGTACGTGAGGACGTGGGGGATTCGTGTTTGGTTCGTGTGGGATGAGTTGCGGGAGATGTGGGAGACATGGTTGAGGACGTTCTCGACCACTGAGGGGGGGAAGTTACGGTCCTTGAAAAACGGGGACAACTGAGACGTACGGGAGTGGAATGCCTTATTTCAGAACCCCCTTCCCCTCCAGATTTAAATTCAATTGGCTTTCAATCTCTAAGTGCTTGGTTTAAACCAATTGGCTGATTCCAGTTAGTTGACAAAACATCAAAACAAGCCTAATGTTTTCAATCACACAGCCAATTGATACATGTTTCCATTTCAGAACTGGCTGTACCCATTCAGCTCCATACAGACTTTTTTTCTGTATAAATCTTTAAGCTTAGAAAAGCACTTTATTTCTTAAAGGAGCCACACACTCTACACAACTTCATAATGCATTTGAACAGAGCAGCCTGAAACTTTCCAGTCTTCAGGTAATAGAGCAATATTCAGTGGCTAATTAGGGCTTAGTGCCTGTATCCAAGATATCATGCCAGTGAATCACAGTTGAACAGTTTCCAATATACCATTCACAGACGAGATATCCTAGGTATGATTGGACTACTCCACAGCCAAAGAGTTGTGACATGCATTGCAACTAACAGAGCTAAAAAATCCCAGGTTGGACTGCAATGCAGTATTTTACAATTCACTTCAACAACCTTAAGCTGAAATGCACTTTTTCACCTTTAATCTAGCCTATTCTAACATCTAGACTCCTAAATCCCTTTATTTATCCCTTAAACCCCACGCTTCTGTATTTGGATTTTAAAAATCAGCAAACCTTTCTAATTCACAGACTGGACTGACATGTCTTGAATACTAAAAAATAGTGGACCAGTATGACCACTACATTCATTTCCAAATATTACGTTTTCTTTTAAACTGGATTTTCTCTTTGAGCTATACCTGCCATTCTCCAGTGCGAGTTTGTCTTGTCTGTACCTTGCTCCTCCATCATAAGTGTTAGCTGATCGTAAAATCCCACACCAGGAAGACAGAGTTAATGGTTGGTGAGGACAGCAGATAATCTTGATGATTTATTACTGTTAAAAACTGAGTTATTAATAGCCAGTCCTGGTCCCTCATTAAATCTGCATTATTTATATAGTTGAGGCAGTGATATATTAAACAAATTAGTCCAATGGAGTGCTAAGCCAATTTGGCAGATTTACCTTAATAGTCAAGATTATTCACTGAGATAAAGATTTATTAAATTCAGTTTGACTTCACAAAATAAAACAAAATACTGCAATAAAAGAAGGCAGCCTGAAATTGAGGTAAGCCTGATCTGGGCACCTGACCGAATCAATTTCAGCAACATGTACGTAAATGCAGGCGTCAAAGTAGGCTGTGAACTTCATCAGAATGTCAGATGACACAGCTTTCGTGACTCTAGTTCCAGGTAAGTGATTTAATTGAATTGAGCGGAGGAACAAATGGATCTCAGAATACATGACTGGGTTTTGTGGAGTATTGATGGGAAGATTGCCAGGCTCGAAATCATTGTGGACTGTGAGGGTGAATGGTTCTTGATCGCAGGAATACCCTTGGGGATGTGGTCAACTTCAAAATTACAGATTTCTGGAGTACTCTTCGTGAATGAGCAGCTGTTTTGAGAACAGTACACGGAGGTCAGGGCTAGGACCAGACCCAACACCCGACAGAGATTAGATCCAGGAGGTAGACTGGAGTTGGGAGAAAGTTCAGAGATATTAGGACAGGGAGCAGAAGAGATCATGGAAAATATTTACCTGATGTAGGGTTTAGTTTTTCCTTTCTAAGAGCTAATGAGAATTCTCACTGGCAGCCTTTAGGAAAACCAAAGTTTTGGCAAACAAACTCTACAGTTCCATACACAAATAGAGAGGCAGGGACATTAGAACTGAGGGAACAAAATCTCTTCTTTGTCCTTCACCGTGATAGTGCCCAATGCAAGTGTGCATCATTTATATTGGACATCCCTTTTGGTGGCTGTACAGCAAACATCTCACACAAATATTAATGATTCCAGTTTTGCTGCCAAAATGAGTTGTAATGAGTTTGAAATCCACATCAGCAACAAAATAAATTAAAATATTGACACCTTGTATTTCAGGCATAGAAGGAAGCAACTCGTTGTTATTCCCCAGGTAAGAACATATTACTCTTTATTAGATATTTGGTGGTTATTTTATTTGATGAATCATTGAATAACAGGATCCCAGTCAGCCTCATGCCCAGAGGGGCCTGCTGGCCTGCAGAAAGTTGGATGTGGGGCAGAGGTTCACGGATGATCTTATGGAAAAGAAATGGGGAAGTTTGTGGAGGAACTGTTCTGTTGAAAACTGAACATAAGAAATAGGACCAGAAGTAGGCCATTTCTGGCCCCTCAAGCCTATAAATGCCGTTCCGTAAGATCATAGCTGAACTGCCCTAGGCCTCAAATCTGCTTTTGCAGCAGCTCAGCATAGCTGTCAACTCCTTCATATTTCAAAAATCTATCTCCCTCCTCTTTAGATACTTTCAGTGATCTAGCCTCCACAACTCTCTGGGTAGAGAATTTGAGACATTCATTTCTCTCTGGGAAAGAAATTCTTTTGCATCTCAGTTTCAAAAGAGTGTCCTCTAATTCCATAACGTTATCCCCTAGTTTGTGATTCTGTCACCACAGAAATCATCTTGCAACATCTAACCCATAAAGGTTATCTTTAAAAAAAAGTCTATCTTAAAGCTTACCTTAAAAGATTAGCATTTCTTTAAAAAAAACAGAGAATACTGGAGAAATTCAGCAGGTCTGGCAGCATCCGTGGAGAGAGAAACAGTATTAATGTTTCAAGTCAGGTATGACTCTTTCAGTTTTGAAGAACGCTGTCAGATCTGTTCAGTTTCTCCAGCATTCTCTGTGTATATTTCAGATTTCTAGCATCGGTAATGTTTTGCTGTAATCCCTCAGAATTTTGCACCATATCACCCCTCATTTTTCTAATCTCTAATAAATAAAGGTCCAACATTTTTTTAGGGGTTCTAAATAAGTTAACTTCTTCATCCTAGCAGTCAACCAAATGAATCCCTCTTTGGACTGCCTCCAATGCCAGTCTATCTTTTCATAAATATCAGGACCAAAACTGTACATTGTGCTCCAGGTGCAACTTCAGCAATGCTCTGTAGAGTATTAACAAGACTTCCTCATTTTTAAGTTCTAACCCACTAGTTATAAAAACCAAAAATTTATTTACCTTTTTAATTACTCGCTGCAACTGCATGCTAACTTTTTGTGTTTCATGGACAAGAGTATTCAGAACTTCCTGTGCTGCACTTTTTTGAAGTCTCTTGCCATTTAACTAACAGTCTGCCATTTAATTTTTCCTACCGAAGGACATAACTGCATATTTCCCTGCATTAAACTCCACCTACCAAGAATTTGCCCATTTTCTCAATCTATACAAATCCCTTTGCAGATTCCTTATGTCCTCATCACATCATGCTCTTTCACCTATTTTTGGACAGATTACGCTCGATGCCTTCTTTCAATTTACTAACATAGATAGTAAATAATTGAGGACCTGGGGGTATCATTCCAATCTTTCTTCATTTCTCTATAATTGTCCTCATTTAAGTTGAGGGTCCTGGTTTTAGTTCTCAGCTGCTCTCTCTTGAACTGAATTTGAAATTCTACCATTTTGTAAATGTTAATCTCCAGAGGATCCTTGACTATGAGATCTCTTATTAATCCTACCTTGTTATACTAGATCTAAAATAGACTGTTCCTATGCAGATATTGCTCTAAGAAACAATCCTCAAACTATTCTTCAAATTTTTCTTCCATGCTACCCTTGTCCATCTGAGTTGTCCAGTGATCGTGCAGATTAAAATCGCCCATCACAATTGGAGTGCCCTTCTTGCATTTTCTACTCTTTCCAGATTTATAATGTCGAGATGCCAATGTTGGACTGGGGTGGACAAGGTCAAAAGTCACACAACACCACGTTATACTCCAACAGGTTAATTTGAAATCACAAGCTTTAATAGCTCTGCCTCTTCATCAGGTGAAGCGAGGAGAAACACTCAGGCACAGAATTTATAAAATCAAAAGATCATGCAAAGAGTATGAGTGGAATGTCGAATAATAGGTCTCTGCAAGTGATCAAGAGTGTCAGATGGTGTGAGTAAAGTGTCAACAGCTGAGTAACTAGTGAAGGGATGGCCTATAATATGATTAAATAAAGCAGAGAGATGATTACAAAAAATTAAAAATAACATAGTGGTGGAGAGTCATCCCTTCACTTGTTATTCAGCTGTTGACACTTTCCTCACATCATCTGACACTCTTGATCACCTGCAGAAACCTATTATTCGGCCTGTCAACACTCCACTCACCCCATTTGTATGATCTCTTGATCTCTTTGATTATGAGGTATGTGCCTGGGAGCTCTCTTCACTTCACCTGATGAAGGGGCAGCACTCCAAAAACTTGTGATTTCAAATAACCCTATTGGACTATAACCTGGTGTCCTGTGACTTTTGACCCTGTCCAGATTTATACTTTGTCCTACAGTCAGTAAAGTCTTTTGGCACTAATCACGATTCCCACCCATGACCTCTTTCCTGTGCTGTTCGTTATTTCCACCTAACTGATTCCACATCACAATCAGTTGCGGCTACATCCCTACTCACCACTGCATTGATATCAGCCTTTATTAACAAAGCTGCCCCATCTCTTTTCCCTTTCTGTCAATTCTTCTGGAAAATTGAATTCTCATGAAAAACTCATTTTTCAGGTCCCATCTTCATATCCCAGTCTTCTTTCATTGGGGTTCAGCATGGTGGGTCAGCTGAAACTCTCTCAAGCAAGTCGCAGTTAAAATTACACTCAGCAAAAACAGCATTATATCACAATTGCATATTTAAAGAGGACTTTGGGTGGGTGGTTTAACTAAAGCTTGTGTGAAATAGATATTTGAGAAAACCGTAGAAGCCCAGGACAAATATGTGGCCTGGATGATTTTAATTATCAGCAGCTTGATTTCAGTTGGCAGAGATTGGGCAGCTGTTATTCAAACTGGAAATTGAATGTTTCAATAGTATCTAATTATTATAGTGTCTTGATGTGTTATGAAATATTTCCAAAAATTATCAAAAAAGATTTTGCTCTCTGAGGTATTTAAGCTTTTGGCTTAGTCAACAAATTAGATATTAACAACCCTGTCAGTGAGGTGGTGCTAAATTATTAACACATAATTTCAAGCCAATATATCATCTGATAGGTGTTATGGAAACAAAAATCCCACGATAATGTACTGAGGCCTAGGTTATTCACTAATGTGTGTGTGAGATAGACATGAGAAAGAAGTTCCATCTGCCACAGGATACCTTCCTGACTTTGTCCAAATTCCTCACGTTGAGGGAAGTTTCTCTTTTTCAGACCAGCTCAGCAGGTGACAGGAAAAGAGTTCAGATTTTGACTGTAGCAGGCAGCTATTGGCTGGTTGTACCTTGAGTTTGCTTTACTATCAGCTTGCAATCTCCTCTGTGTCATCCTCTTCTGACAAGATCATTCTTTATCCTCCCTGGCTAATTTTGCTTAGGCTGCGTCCAAGCTGCTATGGAGACAGACTAATGGATTGAGATGTCCATTCTTTATTTTAACTGCTGACTTAAATAGAGCTGAATGAAAATCAGATGGATTCTATAATGGCCAGGTTGAATCAGATTATTGATTACCAAGCAGGGAAAAGATAAAATCTACATTGCTGGAAGATTTGTCTGTTCTTTGTATTATTGATGATTACAGCTGGCCTACTTTATTATCTGCAAAAACTGTTGAAATGAATTTATAATTTATGTTTTCTCAGCAATATTCAATTCAAAACATTGGATACCAGGCTACCAGAGATTCCCATCACTGCATCAAAACACAACAGGATGTTGAGGATGGTGCCAGCAGGGTTAATATACCACAGGATTCCCAAAAAGATGCTGGCCCTACAAATACAACCCACGGGACTATGGGTCATGTTGATGGCACTGATGTATCCCAAGCTGCTAAGGAAGATGGTGATGCATCTGAAGATTCCAAACAGCATGTTAAAAGTCCCAAGCACGATGCAAATGATAAGGAGTCTCTCGTTTAAGCAGGCCCAGTAATGGAGTTAGTTCTATTCCTTTAGGCATGAGAGGCCAACATGCCAATTTTATACTTTATTGGCCCCAAGTCTGTATCGAAAAAGAAGTAAATTTATCACAGATTTCAATTTGAATCACACTTGCTCACCTACGACCAAGTAGTTTCATATTGGGAGTCTCATAATGGATATTGGGAGATCTGGAGGAACATTTCTTATGACTGTCAGTGTGGAGTGGCTTGCACCTTGGGATACTGAAGGAACCAAGAGAATAATTTTTTGATTGCTTACTTTGTTTAGTTCTTTTTCCTCCATGAAGTCTCCAGGAGTCAGGCTGATCTGTGAACTTCTCTATCTCATCAGTAAATATCATTCTATAATTCACCCTTGGGGAGACTTCCCTCCAGCTTGGTCAAATCTATCACTTGGGTCTTCTTCAAATAAAAATTCAACACATATTTCTGTGATGAAATTCCTATTATGTATTTGAGAGCTTAATGAGAGATATTGATATTAGTTCAAACTTTATTTTTATATTTAAGGAGGAAATCAGCCTTAGATTGCACCATCCAAACATGTGAACTTTCCAACCTAAAAGGGAAAAAACGGTATATACCCCAAGTCACACACCATCGTGACTTGAAGCTATATCACTGAGTTAGAATCCTGGAACTCCCTTCCAAAAAGTACAGTGTACCCACACCACATGGACTATAGTGGTTCAAGAAGGCATATTCTCAGGGGCAATTAGGAATGGGATAGAAATACCCACATGCCATGAATGAATAAAACAATTCTGCATTGAAATACATTGGTATTATATTGTCAGGCATTAACATGGTCTTAATGATGGTATTGATTTCTAACTGCTATTCAGAAGGAAAATACCTCAACCAAAGATCACAAGGGAGGAACTGATGAAGTAGGTCAGCAAAACCATCTTAACTTATCCACTCAAAGTGTTGTTTCTTATATGATTTTGACTCTATATCTCGGTTGGAAAAGCCATTCCAAATGTTGATCACCCTAGGAGCAAAGAAGAAGTTCCAGATATTATTCCTCAGTTTGTGTGTACCTGATCCTATGGTTCTCTTCTTCAAATTTAATGTAAAGTGCTTTTCTGGACTTAGTTTTCCAACCCTTAATTGTTCCGCACATATTTATAACATTGATTCTCAAGTAACTGCTTTCCTACCTGAAAAACCTAGTGTTCCAAGCTTTCTTCCCAACTCACATTTTTGGCCCTTGGGACTCTTTGTTACCTCCAGCACTTGAACAATACCTGTGTCACTCAGATGCAAACAAAACACCACACTCATGATGTGTTCTGAAGTGCAGTTTGATCACAATGACAAATACTTTGGCTAATCTAGGCACATTTTACTGGCTTATTGCGAGATTAATTTCAAGCACAGAATCTGTCTCCCTGCATTGCCCACATGAGAAAGTCTGTATGGAGAAAATAAATCACCATTAATAATTACCTTGTTCATCGTAGCAAATTAAATAGTCATCACATCTTTGAGAGTTCGGACATTACCAGTAGTAAAGGGGATTGGGAGGAGTGGGATATTGTGGGATATATTTTTATCCTCGTGGATTATCCCCATAACTGTAAATCCCAGAATTAAACAACAACCCCAGTTTATAAAGCAGAGTGCTGCAGTGAAATGTTATAAGATAAAACTTGAATCTGAACCACTTAAGGGTTAAGGTTATGAGAACAAGAACACAACAACATTCTGACATCCTTCACTCTATGAAAGATGATGGACACATCTGAAATAATACATCTCAGATGGTGTGTCTTCAATGCGTTCACATTTGCTGATGGCTGAAGTGATCAATCCATGTGAGGCAGGTTCTGGCACAGGTTTTGTACATGGGTTGGCACTGAGTTTGCATACGGGCTACAAAGAGCTATTGGGAAGAGTGATGGAGGATCATGGGCTGACATGAGTTGGTATTAAGTTATGATGGAGGGTATGAGGGACCGCAGACCAGGCAGGGGAAGGCATGAAGTGATATTAAGGTGCCATAACCCATGGGGATTGTGGAAAGTTGATGTGTGGTATGAGGGAAATGGGTCTGAGAGCTGTTCTTTGTTTTACTGTTATTGAGATGGGACTTGCATGCAGCTTGTCTCTGCTCCTGTGGGTTGACTTTGCACTGTCTCCATGGTTTCTGGGTCCCAGTTAACATCTGCCCCCTCTGGAATGAAAATCTGACCATTTGGGGCATTTTCTTCCGAGTCAGATGTGTGGAGTTGGGACTTTCCCCAAATCTGTAACCATGGCTTAGAATTGCTAAACTGCTTCTAAGTTCTCCTTGTGGTTCCCAGAGCCAGCCATTTCCCTCAGGCCAGGAATTGTGGCAGGTTGCCAGCTAATGTCATCTTGAAGTGGCATCAAGTTTGCTATTTAAATGACTGCTTCAAAATGACATTTCCCTGCCTTTCAAATTTTCGTGGATGGTTACTGAAGGCTGCCCAGATCAGTCAATTCGTGAACATTGGGGAAGCCTGTTGTAAAGGTGAGAACTTTTTTGACAGGTAAGTTCAAAAGCTCTTGTCAATTGCAGCCATCTTAATATGATGGATAGTGATGTTCAAAGTATGTTTCAATGCAATGGTTTAATTTTTACTTTGATTTAATGTCCAGATATCTGCTGCACCTTTGAAGCGGTTTCCTGGTATGCAGTTGAGCCATTTAATAACAGTCACAAATCTTTGAAATACTCATGAATTTTAGAACACCCAACCAGATCCATGGTTATTGCCCATCAATTTTTGTTTGCCTTCCAATTTGTTATAGTACTGCTAGGGAGATTAGGTCAAAATCTTAGAACAATGACAGTGTAGCATTGGCAGTATAGTTGCAAGTCAGGATGGTGTGTGGTTTGAAGGGAGATCTGTAGATGGTGGTGTTGCTATTTATCTTGTTCTCTATGGTCGAGGTCAGGTGTTTGGAAGGTAGTAATGGAATCCTCATGCAGTAGGAACTGCTGCTACTCTGCATTGGTGGTGAATGTTAAAGACGATGGATAGGATACTGATCAATCAAGTTGCTTCTCCTTAGATGGTGTCCAGCTCTTTACTGTTATTGGAGCTGCAGTAACACTGGATTCAGTCGCTATTCTGACTTGTGCCTTGTATACAGTGGACAGGCTTTAGAGAGTAAGGAGGCACGTTATCTGCTACATAATTTCTAATCTTTGATGTGGGTCTTGTAGCCACAGTACTTGTATGGCTAGTCCAGTTACTTTTCTGGTAAATAGTGATCCCAGGATGTTCATGGTGGGTATACCGAGATGGCAATGCTGTGGAATGTCAAAGGAAGATGATTAGATTGCTCACATTTGGTTATGCTCCAATTTGAATGTCTGGTCACCAAATTTTTGGAAGGATGTGGGGGTCACTGAGAGTGTACAGACTAGATTTACTGGAATCATTTCAGTGCTGAAAGATTTTAGCTCCATGGTTAGGCTTGAGAAATTGGTGTTGTTCTCCTTGGAATAAAGAACATTGATGGAAGATTTAATGGAGGTGTAAACAATTATGACAGGCTTAGATATAGTAGACAAATAAAAAATGTTCTCATTGGCTGATAGTAAAAGAACTAGTGGACATAAAGTTAAAGTTTTGGACAAGAGATACAGTTGAGACAGAGCTGATAACTGCCTGGAAGTGGCTGCCTATGGGGGTAGTGGAAGTGGTGATAATCAATGGTGTCAAAAGAAAACTGGAAGGACTTATGATGGAAATAAACATCTGAACTGCAGGGATAAAGCAGGGGAATGAGGCTAACTGGATTACTCTGCAGAGAGCTGGTATGAACTCAATGTGCTGAATGGCTTTATTCAGTGCTGTTATGTCTCTGAATTTGTTAATAATACTCTAGCAATGAACTGGAACCTTGTTCTATAAATGATTTTGGTACCTATAGATGATCAGGAAAAATCTGATTGCATGGTTTATCATTATCAAATACAGATCCTCAAGCCATCATTTGTAAATTAAAGGCTACAAAAGATCAAGACTGAAGCTTTTCTGAACATTTGATTGCCTTGGCAACAAGACAAAGGTTATGCAGCTATAAAAAAAGGGTTGTATAAGACTGTGAGTCACTTAATATTATTAAGTGACCAAAGGCTCCTGCTGTTTGTCTGCAAAAAAGTTCAGCTCTTTCATCTTCAATGCTGCAGTGATGAATTAGGAGCATATCAAACCATTGGATTTTTGTCTGAAGGCCTGAAGTCACATTTCAGTTCAAAGATGATCACTGCTTATTGCAAACTGACATTTTCAGTCTGCTGCAACAAATTTAGACTGAAACATGGATAAGCATTAAAAAAAGCCACCTTATGTAGGCAAATTTAAAGGCAATTATGAAATTATATAACATTTCACTTCTACGCTCACTTTATTCCAGGCTACACCAGGCATTCCTGAACTTAATGAAGATTACAAATTTTTACTATCATTTGTGTAGAACCAAAATTTAATCTTCTCAAGACTGTAAGTCTTTAGCAAGGTGATCATGGTATGTTCAATGGAAAAGTCAAAGATAAAAATGCTCAGGGCATAGATAAATACATCTGATTTGTCGCATATAATATCCAAGTCCAGTTTGTCTGTCTTGGCTCATATGATGGATTATGGCAGTTATGCAGCATTTTGTAATAAAGAAAACACATAGAGATATTTTCAGCATGTAAACCAAGACAACAGGAACAATGCACCAATCCATCTAGATTTTAGTATAAAATTCTGCATCAATCTGTACAAAAATGTAAACCTGCCCAGAGCTGTATAAATTCCTGGCAGATTAAAAAAAAACAAACCTCCAAGCCAATTCAGAAAATAAATCTAACCCTAGCATGCATGTAATGTTGAACATAGCAATGATCGCGTTTATCATTCATTGAGTGTTAGACATAGTCCCTATCCACCCCGTTATTCAGTGAGGGATGGATACAGTATTGACCCTGTCTGCTATGTTTCACAGCTTTGCAAGTTAAGACACAAAGTCTGATAAACATGGTTCCATCGTGCTTGCAGTTTTTGTACCAAGTGTGACATATTAGTGCCAACGTGGCATCTATACAATTTTCAGCATGGACTTCCCAAATCACCTCGGTATGACGTTATAGTGACTTGTGTATTGTGTAAGTGCTGGAGGTATGCAGTTTTGACAGAATGTGGCCCCAGCTATGCCATTTTTCACTTCACTGATTTACTTAATGCCCTTTCTCAAATTTGCACAGCTGGACACACATTCAGCAACATGAAAGACTTCCTGCCAGTGCTTTTAAAGAGATTATCATTAACTTTTCAGTTGATTACCTTATACATTGCACTGGCTCTGGTTCAGTTCATGAAGGTTTTGAAGAATTTGTTACAATTAGTAAAATCTTCAAGGAATGATGCTGCATGTGGGAAAGACATAATATTGTCTGT